CCCTCTCTCCCCCCCCCCTTCGCCGCGCTCCTCCCTCCCCCCCTTCACCTCCCTCTCTCCTTCCTCCCCCCCCTTCCCTTCCCTCCTCCCTTCACCTCCCTCTCTCTTTCCTCCCCCTTCCCTTCCCTTCCCTCCTCCCTTCACCTCCCTTCCCTTCCCTTCCTCTCCCTTCCCCCTTCACCTCCCTCTCTCCTTCCTCCCTTCCCTTCCCTCCTCCCTTCCGTCCCTCCGCACCTCCCCTCCAGCCTCTGGTGCCGCCGCACTCCGCCGCCTCTTCGAGCAGGGGGTGCCCAGTTTTGTCCGGCCGCGCGGACGGCCGCCACCGCGCCCGGGCCGCCGCCCTCGCAGGCGAACCACCTCCCCCAGTGCTCGCCCGTCGCGTTAGCCTTGAGTCGGGCGTGTCCCTTTACAGGAGGGAATATTCGAAACTAGTCAAACACTTTTTCGATTCCTTTTGTGAATTATATTCTTGATTTGTTTCCCTGTATTTCAGTTTTCGCCCAAAATCCGCCTGTAGGAGGACACGCCCGACCCAACGTTATCCGCACATGCACCCAGCGGCGTCGGCTTTGAGGGCGCGAAGGTACAAGCGCGGTTCGAGCTTCTCTCCCCCCCTTCTGCCCCACTTCTTCTTGTTATTTCGGCGACGTGGCTACCGTAGCCACCTACGCTGCAAACGAGAATATACATGAAATTGCTCGACGCGGAGATCCCCATATGTGCATATCTCATGCTCCTGTCACGTTTCGTTGAGGAATTAGTCGAGGTAGTTTGTGTTTGTGAGTGCATTTGAGGGCTGGTGGGCCTGAGTGTGAGTCAGCCTGAGTGTGAGTTGGTAGTGGTGTGGGTGAGTCTGAGTATGAGCGAGTCTAATAATGAGCGAGTAAGTATGTGTCAGTCTGAGTATGATCGCATCTGAGTATGAGCCAGTCTGAATATGATGAGAGGTGCGGATGAGTAATTCCGAGTGCGAATGAATATGTCCGAGTGGGGAAAAAGTGAGAGGAGGTGAGTCAGTGAGTGAGTGAGTGAGTGAGTGAGTCAGGAGCACGCAAGTTCAAAGAACACTTGTTCGGGTGCAGAATCATGCAAGTCGCATGGTTATATCCTTCGATCTGGGCGCAAATCCTGAAGTGTCCTCACCCGTGGCGGCTCCGCCTTGGGGTGCCCCGCTGCCACGCGTTCAATCACGGTGGGCATTGGACCGCAAGGAAAGAAGACCAGGGGTGCCCAGGTGCCACGCTTGCTAATTGCGTTGACCAGTGGGCCACCCAGCGAGAAACACGGGGGGCAGAAGCAAGCAGCCCGCTCGAGACATCTCCACAACCTGCTCTGAAAGCAAAAGCTGTTGGGCACCAACGCAAGCACACCGCCTGAGACATCCCCACAATCTGGGCGCGAAAGGGCCTGTGCAACTACCCCTGGCGGCTCCCATTGGAGTGCCGAAGCCAGCGCTTCGCTCTGGACGCCCGAAATGGGCACGGAAAGAATGGGCACTATGCCCAACAGCACTTCCTGTTCATTTGGCCGCCGCGGCCCGTGTCCATTCGAGACAGAAGGCCGCCTGCCCAACAGCGGCCGCAGTTGGTTTGGGACAACATTTGTTGTTGGGCATCGTTTCCATTCTTTCCGTGCCCATTTCGGGCGTCCATTCGGGAGAACCCTCCAAAACGTCGTCCCCAGACCCCCCCAGGCCCTCCAAGATGGCCTGGAAGAGACCCCCCCCGAAATGAGACCCCCCTCCCTTTATTACGAAATCTGGAGTACCCCTGGCGGCTCCCATTGGAGTGCCGAAGCCAGCGCTTCGCCCGAGACATCCTCGCAACCTTCTCTGCACATTATTCACTGCGCCTGGATCCCCATTTGTGCCTCCATTTGCATGGGCCATTCCGCCGTGAGTGCAAGGGCTTTCCTCCTCCCCTCCTTCCCCTTCCTCCTCCTCCTCCTCCTCCTCCTCCTCCTCCTCTTCCTCCTCCTCCTCCTCCTCGTCCTTCTTCTCTTTCTACTATTGACAGGCTGGGCGTGCATTTATTGCGAATGCGTTGGGGTTTGAATGAGTCTTAGCAGTACGACTGGACCTATGCCCATGATCCTGGGTATGTGTAAGTGTATGATGATGAGTGTCTGCGCGGCACTTGCCTGAGCATGACGGAGCGCGACTGAGTAGAATGTGTTATGCGATCCTTACCTTCATGATGAGATACGGGATATGGGTTGCTCATGCAAACGCCGCGCGAATCTCTTGCGCTTTGTTGTCTGGCCCAGAAGATTTCACGCAGCTGCTGGACCGTTAAACAGCCAACCACGCCACGGAGAGGATAGGCCCAATCTATAGGAACATTCGCAAATCACGTAAGGACACAATCAAGGAGCAACATGTAGAAACATACGTAAACAAACAAAATATTCGTGCCCCAGGATCGGCCCAAACTATAGGAACACTCGGAAAACACGCAAGACTGGATCCACAGGGCAGGGGCAATCTATAGGAACAGACGTAAACCACCAAGGGTCTGTGCCCCAGGATATGCCCAATCTATAGGAACACACGTGACGCACTTAGGACTGGAGCCACAGGAGAGGGGCAACATATGCGGGAACGCGTAAAGCACAGAAAGGATTCGCGCTTCAGGTGCGGTCCAATTTATGGGAACACGTACAGCTCATATGATTGGAACAGGTTTTGTGGCCTCCTGTGGTTTTTTTTTTTTTTATGTCTATTTCCACCTTTTTTTTTTCTATTTTTTTTTTTTTTTTTTTTCCTTTTTTCTTTTCGCCTGTGGCGTTCTGGAGCCTCTTGGAACCTTTTTGGGCCTCCCGGTGCCTCCTGGGGCCTCCTGGGGCTTCCTGCGGTTTCCTGGGGCGTCCTTAAGCCTCCTGGGACCTCTTGGAACATCTTGTGCCCCCCTGGGGCCTCCTGATGCTTTCTTGGTCCTCCTGGAGCCTCCTGGGGCCTCCAGAGGAAGATACGTGCACCAGTATCTGCCCGATTTATAGGAACATGTGTAAACACACAGGGCTGGAGCCACAGGAGACTGGCCGCTTAGAGGGCATACTCACAACACGAAGGATTCAGTGGACGCCCACTCTGTAGGAAAACGCGAACAACACATTGGATTGGACCCACAGGAGAGGAGGGCAACATCTGTATGAGCATATGTAACCCATATGATTGTAACAACTCTTGTGGCCTCCTGGGGAGTTGGTGTCGCCTCCTGATGCCTCCTGGGGTCTCCTGGTGCCTGTGGCGTCATGTGGCCCCCTGGTGCCTTCTGGAGCCTCTTGTGGCCTTTTGGAGAGGATTCGTGCCCCAAGAAGGGCCTGATCGGCATGACCAAACGTTATTCACAAAGGGCTCGTGCCCCAGCAGAGGCCAAGCCTGTAAGAGCATGCGTAAACTATCTAGGTTACGGCCTGATCGCAGGCGAGTCTGGCAACCGACGCATGCAACTCGTTCGATGCATCCTCGCAATCTGCCCTTCCCCCCCCCGAGATGCGAGCGCCAGCGCCTCGCCCGAGACATCCTCAAACCCTGCTCCGAAAGTGGATGGTGTTGGGGCTGTAAAGCAGGCAGGCGCTTCGAGACACCCCGCCATCTGAGCTCTTGGCGGTGCTGAAGCCGACGCCTCGCCCGAGACATCCTCAGAATCTGCTCTGAACGCGGACGGGCCCTGCCACCAAAGCAGGCCAGCTGCCCGAGGCATCCTCACACTCTGCACGCCCCCCCCCAGGGTGCTGAAGCCGGCGCCTCGCCCGAGACGTCCTCACACCCTGCTCCGAGCGCGGAAGACGTTGAGGGCGCAACCAGGCAAAGCGTTTGAGGCATCACCGCGAACTGGGCGTGACCGGGCCAGCGAGGTACACACCTGCCCCCCCCCTTTTTGGGGGTCGCGAGAACCAGCGCCTCGCCAAAGGGTGGCGCAGATAGGCAAACCGCCTGCGACGTCCCCACAGTTTCAGCGTGATTGGCCCCGTGCAGTGCCCTCTGGCCGCTCCCCATTGCGGAGTTGTGGAAACATCGTTTCGCCCGAGGCACCCTCACAACCTGTTCCGAAGCCATGGGATGTCAGGCATCCAAGCATCGGCGGCGGGCCCAGGGGGGAAATGAGAAGGAGCAGGCCTTATCAGAAGGCCGCGGGACTTCTTAGAAGTCCGGGGGACTTCTGAGAGGTCTCCTTAGCTTATTTCGAATACAGACTGAACTTCTCAGAAGCCCTCTCAGAAGTCCGGAAACTTCTCAGAAGCCTCGGAAGTCCCGCCCCTTCTCATTTCCCCCCCGCGCCCGCCGCCGAAAACAGGCACACCGCCCGAGACATCGCCACGCTGGGCGCGGCCGGATTCGTGCACTGCCCCTTCTGGCCCGCCCTCCCTAGGGGTGCGA